GTCAGGGTTTTTAGGCCTGGCAAAAGGGGGAAGCAGCTCTCTATATTGTTTTAAAGACAAAGCATGGAAGAGCACAGCAGAGACTATGAATCTGAAGAAAGAGGGAAAAAGTCTTTAAGACGACCTACACGATGGCATTTTATTAACACTGCAACACATCAGCAGAACCAGAGTTCTGATGATAGAATTTGTGCTTATGCCAGCTACACAGATTATGTTGTCAGAAATCACCATTTTTCCTGGTACTTCTGTAATTCTCAAATATCAAAAGCATAAGGAAGCTTGGTGCTTCAGGAAAAAAAGGTAATGCAAGCGTTTCCTATGAGTAATGTCCCACCTAGGGCTTTCCCCAGGGCTGGATTAGATTAAATCTTTTGCTTTCCCCTTCCATGGAAGCTCACTCAGTGTCTGAGCACTGGCAGTTACAATGCAGGGCCTCTCCCAGCCCAGCTTTGTAGGGGAGCTAGCAATGCCTTCCTGTGGTCCAGCCCTGGACCGACCACCATTTCCAGTGTGCAGCTTTAAACTCCAGCCTTATTCCTTCACATGCAGTTTTCTTGAAATAGGCCCCATGATGCTAATAGTATTGCAAAACCTCATTCTTGCTCTTGCTCATGCCCTCTGTCCATGCAAGGCCACCTCATTCACAGTGGTGGTAGCATGGCCTGGCTCTGCAGCTCTCTGGGAATTTCCAAGGCAAAAACCAGGCTGCCTAACATCAGCTGAGGCTTCAGGACAGCCTTTGCTTAAAGAGGCCTTGGGATTGAAATGTCCGTAACCTGCTGTTTACACTGTGGTAATGCAAGGTCTTCTATGGGATTTATTTGCTACCAGGTTTTAACTATGTGAGGTGAGGATGCCATGCAGTTAATTTCTATTCCCTGTACGGAGAGCCAGCTCTGTTCATCCCACACATGCCGATGAGAGACCAGTCTGAATCAAGTTTGTTTTAGCTGTTAAATCACATTTCTCAATTGTTTAAATAGTTCAGACAGGATTTGCACAGTAACATTTTAGCTTTTTATAGCTGTCAAGAAGCAATACAAATAATTACTACATTCCCTGGTGGGTTTTATCTGATTAAAGTGACATGTCTGCTTATGCAAGATATTTGAAAAGAGACATTCAATAAAGTCAGTAACATTTAATTTCCCTTCTCCTCCTCTTTTTTCTTTTTTTAAGCTACACTTGGTATTTACTTTAATGTCATTTTTTGAGGTATGTTTGTTTGTATTTTTTTTTTAAAGAGTTTACATAATGGAACAATTTAGCAGAATACTTTATAGACTTGCAATGAAATATTTCTTCACATGATTGCAAGGTACTAATGTACTTTGTCTATGCTACGCACTACCATGCCTGTCTGCCATGACTGCTGCAGAAATACTGCTCGAGTTGAGGGGAGCCAAGATGGAAGCCACAATTTTCTCCACATTCAAACAGGAGCTGTTGAAGAAACTAGGACTTAATCTGGAAGATGCCTGTGGTGCGATGACCTTGGTGCCTTACATTGCAGAAGCCTTTTGTAGGAGGTTTTACTGGTACAAAATCCCCTATGATTATACATTCCTGATTACAACTTTTTAGTGTTTCATCTGTTATCCATCTTAGTATGCAGAGATATTTCCTGCAGAAGTCTTGATGCTGTTCCAGATTTCAGGGCTTGGCTCACTGGCACATAGATGGTAAAAGCAAAGAGTTTAAGTTTCATTCTTATCTTTGATTCTTAACTCGTTTAGACAATGAGTTTTCAGGTCCTGTAGTACAGGTTTTGCACCAGACTCTTGCAAGAAATATTAATTCAGCCATCTCTCTTAATTAGTCTCTTGGGTTTGTGTTCTTTAGAAGGTCAGGTTGTTACAATGGTATTTTTCACTGCATGATACAGGGATTTTTTAGGTTATGAACACCAGGAAGCAAAACTGAGCCTATTAAAGTCTCAAGCAAGATGGAGCAGCTATATTTTCCATACTTGCTGTTAGTACTATCTGGTGTTGATATCACAGAATCACAGAATCATAGAATCACAGAATTGTAGGGGTTGGAAGGGACCTCCAGAGATCATCGAGTCCAACCCCCCTGCCAAAGCAGGTTCCCTACAGCAGGTCACACAGGTAGGCATCCAGACAGGTCTTGAACATCTGCAGAGAAGGAGACTCCACCACCTCCCTGGGCAGCCTGTTCCAGTGCTCCGTCACCTCACTGTAAAGAAGTTCTTGTGCACATTTGTGTGGAACTTCCTATGCTGCAGTTTTCGGCCGTTTCCCCTTGTCCTGTCTCCACTCACCACTGAAAAGAGTCCAGCCTCGCCGTTCTGCCCCCCATATGCATGGCATAGCAAGTGCTGGCTAATATATTTTGTCTTAAACAAAAATGCAAATGGCAGGCTTTATGTCTGCCCTGGGGAGCCTTGAGTCAGAAGTTCCTTTACTAAGGGAAGCTTTGGCAAGGCTAGGCATATGACAGCCTGCCTCTGGAGCCAGAAGAGATGGGAGCATCCTCGCTCTGTGCAGAGGGCAGATGTCTGCAGTATCAGCACTGGTATTACTGTGTCCCTAGTGCTCCCTATCTCATGGCAGCTCTCAACATAGCCCTTGCCTTTTAGTGAGACTCTACTCCTTTAAACTGATAGAAAATACTGCCTGGTTCTCATCCTCTCTACCCAGCTATTAAAATAGTCAGCAAATCCCCAGCTTCTTTTGTGCTTTATTTCCTTCTTTTTTATGGTTTCGGTTTAGATGTGACATTTCCCTCAGTTTTGGGAGACTGCTAAAGATATTTTGCACCATTTTAAAGCTGTCAGTGGTCTGCCTTTAGATTTCTGTGCAGATTATGTGAGACGAGTGAGGTTACATGTTTTATAGTTTCTTTCTTCCCAAGCACGGCACTGTGTTGTGAATCCTATAAGGCAATACATTGATATCTTGCTTGTAAAAATGATTCTATGAAATGCAGCTTCTTATATTACTTCATCATTACTAATGTTCATCGATTTCTACTAAAAGTTCTTCACATGCCCTAAAACACTACATGGAAAGACACAAAAATCTACAGCAAAAATGAAAAACAATATTTCTTTTTATCAACACTGCATTTCTCTGAATCTGGTTCTTGATTACACTGAGGCCATCTTAAGCTGTTCCAGAGTGTAAAAATAGCAAAAAAAACTCAAAGGAATTTTAGATATAATTTGTTCCTTCTTTAAGAATGATATTCCCTGTCAGTGTAATAAGAAATGGTATTGGTTTCAATGAGAATCTTCCTCTACTCTTGCAGATTTGAGGATATTTAGGAAAGGGCAAATAATGCTGAGGATATTCAGTACTGATTTATATGCCACTGGTTTTAAATCTGTACATCAAAATGCAAAATACTTCCCATTGGCCTATTCTAATAATTCTACACAACCAAAGGGAGAACACAGGAGAGCTTCAGAACAGTGATAATAAGCAACTGCAGAAACATTTATCACTCCTGATGGCAAAGATTAAAAAAACTCACCATTTATTTCAAAGAGATAAGTATGACACCTTAACAATTCTGTCTTTTCCTTTCTGCACAGATTTTCATTTCAAGCTCTGACAATATTAAGGAAGAAATTTATTGGAGTTCATCACACAGCCTGAATCCTGTGGAGCCAAGGTATTTATAATGATGCCAAAGTGACAGTGTCAACAATGATTTAAATCATTTAGTCACTATGATAAACATTGTGTTATCCTAAAATTTAAGGGATGGACTGGAAGCATAAGGCACTCTCAATATGAAAACAAAGTCAATGGCAAATGGTTTGCATTCATAAAACCTATCATTACCCAAAATAAAAGATTGGATGAGAGGAACTAACAATGAAGCTGTAATATCCACAAGACTCATGATATGTCATGAGCCAATGAGATAAAGATAGATGTTCTGTGTGAACACAGAACCTACTTTTACACCCAAAGAAGTCAGCACTGCATATGACAGTGAATAGCTATAGCAGAATAGGATGAAGTACAGACAGGACATTTTTTGTCTTTCAGACAGCAACTGTTCTGACCATTATTTTTGTTGATAAAGGTTTGATGTAGATTGAATCTTGATCAACTTGCCAGATGTAGCTTAGAATAAACTGGAGAGAAAGATGTAGAAATGGAGAAAAAAAATTCAGATTTCTATCCACAACTTCTGAACTTTATATATAGGTAGAAAGAGATGCAAGAGAATGAGAAAAGGGAGGAGATGTCGCTCGAGACGCCTGAAAGAGAATGAGCTAATTGAATTGAAAATAATCAGAGAAACAAACAACAAGACAACAAAAATGTAAAAAAGAAATGAACCTCGAAGATAGACTTAAATTCAGAAGTAATCTCTGGAGGATTAAATAAAAAAGACATTGGGAAGACAAAGCAATTAGGCCTCCAACTCAGTTTATAACATACAAGAAGGTCCTTCTGAAGAACATCATGTCAGGATCTGAGAAAGTAGGAGAAAAGCACAGTGGTAAAGTGTCTTCAGAAACCTTAGAGACCTAATGGACACACTATGGTATGCTCAGTCTGTGCAGCCTTCCTCTTGTTTTCACATACCCAAAGTCTCAATTTTCTTTCTTTCCTTCCTTACCAGCTAAGTTTTTCACTCAACACCATCTGAACGGTCTCTCATCAAATCATGTTGCTCGGGCACCTCTCACCTGATCACAACACACTATACCAAAATCTTCCCACGTAGAACCTCGCAGAACCATAGTAGTCCTCACTACTATGATTCTTGTTTCTAATTTGCAATTTTTAAAAACTGTTGATTTTCATACATTTCTGAATTGGTCATTTCTGTTCAGCTTTCAAAGATGATAAAAAAAAGTCTTCATGCACTGAACAAGCAGTAGGAAATTTTGTTACAAAGATGTTCGTCAGAAAATTTCTCATCCTCCTACAAGATCCTTCCAAGCTCTCCAAGGCCAAAGTGTCTTAAATATTTCCTCCCTTTCATCAAATTAGCAATTAAACTCACCTCACCTTGGAAAGGTAATTTTCCATCAATTTCATGTGCAGCTGCCCAAAGTGTGATAGAAAATGCCCTTCAGCAATTTTCATACTTCAGCCAGTTAGTTGTGATTCTGAAAGAAAAAAAAGAAAAAGAAATTACTGGTGACAAGGCTGATATGAAAAGCATTTATAAATGTACTTATAACATGGAGCTGGATTTTGTAAGACTGAAAATAAGTAGTTATTTCCACCTAACTTTTTTAGGTTGAAAATGAGCAATTAAATACAGTTGAAAGGTGTTGGTTGAATTTGGAATGAAGTCAGATTGGACAGAAATAACATAAGAAAAACAAACGGCTGTAGAGAAGTTATTCTGAGTGCATTTTCATTATGCTTGGGTACATATATGTGTGCTTGCACAAGCCTGCAGTGTGTATTCACTGTCATACACATGTTTTCATGTAGTCTTGCTGTTGTGGTCTCTCTCTCCCTTGAAGAGAGGGATTGGTGGCACAGAGGAGGTTGTGAAGCAGCTTAGGTAGTGATCATGAGTCATGCTCAGTGGTTTAACAGAACTTTCTTCATCTTCCTCCAAAGAAATAAAAACAAAATTATTTTCTAGTCTGCAGCAGATCTGTAAGGTTGTATTCAGAAACATTTACTAACAGTGGTTCAGCTCAGGTGAGTTGCCTTGGGAACATTAGAGAAGAGCCTTTTTGTTTTTGCATGACCATAAATATGCCTTCTGCTTTAAGGGTATAATCCTTTAAAGATTCAGCCCATGGGAAGAACTTTAACACAGAAGAATTCCTTTAAGTGGAACTGTATGCTACAGTGAGCAAAACAAATATAATGTCGTCTATTTTTAAAACCAAAACCACGGCTTTTGCAAAATTATTTTACTTATTAAGAAATTATTTTAGTCGTTAAAAAATAATTGCTGTGTTGGGGAAAATGTGGCAGAAGATTATAAAGAGGACTTTTAAAAACAAACAAACAAACAATGGACCATTCTGTTTAAACTTCTTTCAGATGAAATGTTATAATTTTCATCTTTCAAAATATTGGTTGAATTTTGAGTGGACAGGCACAAAATGAAAACTCAGCTGTCAGCAAAAGCTCTTGTGGAGGCAGCAGTGAATGACAAAAAATGGGCCTAACTCTCGGGCTTTTTTGTCCTACTTTATGCCTTTCTTAGGCACCCAAGAAGAGCAACCAGAAAAATCATAAAGTTAGCAATGTTTGTCTTCCCCCATCAGCAGGCTGTCAGATATGCTGGGGTGGGCAGGGCCCTGCTGTGACTGAGAGATGCTCTGTTAGTAATCAGCCCCACAGGAGGGAATCTTTTTGCTCTCCGGCTGAGGAAGTGCTGGAATGTGCATCCAAACAGCCAAAGCCACATGTTGAATGAAACAACCAAGCCTGCCAAGGAACAAAGAGCATCTATCTGAATTGGGTGCTTATGGGCTCCTATACGGGTTTCTCTGTGCTGTGTACTTCTGTTTACGTACTACCAGAGTTTAAAAATCTGACTCATGCAGCTTTATTTGTCAGGGTAGATGGAGAAGGACGGGAAAAAGATTAGTTTTAGAGCTGGCTTATCCTGAGATGATAGCTCTTTGAAATGTCAGCGCTATTGATGATGGGCCTCCTTCACCCACGTAATTAAAAACATCTACTGAAATGTCAGTGCTGCCACCCAATGATCTGATGAACGGCTCTGGCTGGGAGACATTCTGACACAGCACAGTCAAACTGTTGGGATACTGTGCTATTTGTCACATGTCCCCTTGTGACAAATTTTGCGTCCATAGGTGATGCCAAACTATTGAAGACAAGGACAGTTAGTCAGCATTTTATAAAATGATTAGTCTCTGTGTCTAATTGTACTTAGCTAATACATAGTGGATTCACACGATCTTTTCCCACAATTCCCAATTTCACAGAATCACAGAATCACAAAATTTGACCTGTCCTACTGCCTAAACCTTGCTTTCTTATGTCTGAGCAAGTGACTGGCAAAGGAGACCGTCTCTTTGTTTCAAATTGGGCTTTATTTACTGAAGATACAGAAATCTGTTCACTGACACTCAGCAATCTCTTACTCCTTGAGGATTATATTTAAATTTCCTCTTGTACTCAAGTTATAACTTGAATTATACTTTGCCTTACTGTTCTGCCATAGGAAGACTAACATAAACTGTCCTGAAGAGAAGAACTCCCTACTGAATATCAGAAAGTATACAAAGCTTGATATACAGTTCAGGAAAAGTACGTCATGAATCTCTCCAGTCATGTTGTGCATCTATCAAAAAAAAAAAAAGAAAAAGTAAAAAGTAAAAAAAAAAAGTAAAGGAAAAGTAGCTTTTAGTTTAGCCTGGCAAGAAGTCTTCCAGGAAATGAAAATCTTATAACTGCTGCTGCTTGTCAAAGACCTCATGAAAAAGAAATGGAAGAAAGTCACCAAAGGAAACTTGAGATGAGTTGTGGGACCCACTGCTCGTTTTCTTTTTCCTTTGCTCTTCAAGGGAATTGCTTTCACCAAGCAGTGTAAAATATCAGGGAGCTGCAGACAGCTTTCTTCTGGAATTTGTGACAGACTGTTGTAGAACAGTGTGAGATTCCATTATTATGTAAAAGATCTGCTTTCAGAGATAGCTCATAACACTGTGGGCCTATGCTGCAAGAATGAATGAGCCATTTCAGCTGTCAGTCTCAATAATTACTACACCTTCTAGTATTACTGTTTGTGGAGACCAGAGCATTTTTTCTTAAGCTTTTATTTAAAAAAAATGCAACCCCTTGCCCAGGCTCACAAACCCTAGGATGAAATACGTGTAGATTTTTCTTCCCTCAAAAGAAATGTACAATTTGAGTTTTGATCTTCTGCAGCTCTGGGTGAAATATTCTCACTTTCAAATCAGAAAACACAGAGGTGTAAGAAGAGTTCCTCTCTACTTCTGTTGGACAGCTATAGTTCTCAGAGGCTTTCTAGACTAGATGAGAGAACTATTGTGCTACACATCACTAAACATAGAGCAGGAGACTGCGTCTACAGTTAAGAGATTATTTTCTACACAGGGAAGCTGCATAAAGAGAGGCCAAAGGAAAGTGTTGCTAACTATACTGCATAAAGAAGGAGAAGATATACTAACAATAACTCCTAAAACTCCTCATGTGGGTTGAAACTTCTTGAACGTTCCTTGTAAGCAATTGGGGTGATCTTGTTTCATGTGTTGGAAACTGCTTACAGCTAAGGCTGAAGACCCCTAGCACAAGTTACTAACTTGGTAGAATAAATGAAGAGAAGCATTACAGTAATAATTTTTTGGTCCTTCTTATGGATATTACTATCACACAGAACCTATTCCCATCAGTTTAGACGTATTTCCTTTTCTTGCTTCTAACAGTTTGTATTCCGAACACCTGAATTTTGAAACTGGCAAAAAAGGATCAAAAATTTCCTTCCTTTTCTTTCTTGATTAAAATACTTACCTTACATATTCCCTTAGTTCTAGCAAAGCAGCTGAGTCGTTCAACACAGGAAGATCTTATAAGAAGTTTTTATATAGAAAATATCTTGGTGACAGTATTGTGTGGATTTGAGTTAATTAATGTTAGTAAAAAGTTTTTGAAAAGAACAACCACCCAAAAATAAACACAATAAGCACAAAACCACAAACCACAGCCTCGCTTTTTAAATTATCAGAACTGCATTTGTAAATAAATCAGGAAAACAAAGGAATCAAGGGTATGGAAGTGTGATAAAGGCACAGAGTGTTTTTTTTTTTTTTGCTAGATTAGGAAAGCACATCACTTATGCTAAAACTGTATTCCTCTCTGTTTTCAGCAATGCTTTATTCAGGGTCGGGTTCATTTATGCTCCTTTAGTTTTGCAGAACGGCTGACGTTGGAAGGAAACTCAAATCTGATGCCCTGCTCAAGTAGGGACACCAGAGTGGGCTGCTGAGGACCATATCTAGGTTTCTTCTGAAGATTTCCAAGGAGAGAGGCTACACAACACCCCTGGAGGTTTTGAGCTTATAGGAATATTTATTGCAAATACACTGAGCATCTTAACTTTTCCAAAAGCACTTCATAACCACAGATATTTTAATAAACACAGATTTACACATATACTTTTGGTTAGACTCTAGCAAAACAAAATATAAAGTAGTACAAGCAAAGGAGTTGCCATAATGCTAGATATGAATAAACCTTCTTTCATTGTAACTGAGGAATTGACACATGGTTTATAAGTAAGCCTTGATGCCCCTTTGATCATATTTTTTAAGTTTTTATAATTTTTTTTTTTTCTGCCAGTCATCCAGGAACATAACTTTGAACCAGTGCTTTATAACCAAACTTTCTCTTATCATTGTCCACTCAAGAGGAGCAGACACAAGTGAAAAGACTGAATAGAATCTGCTTGGGGAAAATGTACAGAAGGTGCGATAGTGAAAAAGAGGAAGATTATACTAATAGGAATGACAGACGTAGTGAATGAATAGGTACAGTACTGATATGTTCAAGGAACCATAACAAAACCATTCTTTTTTTCTTTATGTATTGAAATCCATTATAGGCTATTTGCATTATGTGAGTAATAGGTTCTCAGGATGATGCATAACATGGAGGTCTTTTGGACACCTTATTTCTGCTCATCTTTACATTGCTTCAATTTCCAGTAGCAAGTGACTATCACCCCTGTGGCCACTGCAGTGGTGTTTGTACAGAAAAACAAGATTTGAGATAAAATAAAAACAAACAAAAAACCCCAAACAAACCCCTTTATATTTAGATTTCTAAATGGATTCTAATAGATAATTCAGTTTTCTAAAGAGCCATTCCAACAGTTGAATAAAGACGAGAACATCTCAAACCAGAGACTTTTCTTAGACTATCTGCATGTACATAGCCTTCAGGCATGTACATAGCCTGCATAACATAGCCTTCAGAAATATAAATAACAAAGATTTGCAGTGTTGCTAAGTGCTAAGCTGAAGGAAGAATATATTATGTGTGTTTTTTCAAGTCCCTGCAGTGTGTAGACATTTAGGTAAATGAGAATGTATTTAGAGTAATGAACTGTTTCTCAAAGAAATAGATTTAGACATTTAGACACCTAATA